CTGCCCTTCTGAAGACATGTCTTGTTTGTCACTGTATGTCGTGGGCTTCTCACTAAGCCAGGCACAGAGTAGACGCTAAATGTATGTTGAATGAATGCGAATATCCTGGTGCAGAAGAGGCAGCTACTCTGGGTAGTCAGGCTGCTATTTCTTTTCTGAGTTGGGCTGTGTTCTATTACTTTCTGTGCATTGGAAAATTTTGATAGAATTTATCATATAGTTCTAAATCATGTTACTTGTGTGTGCATAGATGATAGAGGGATAAACTCATTATATGAATCTCTGACTTGTGTCTCATTCTTTGAATCAATGAACATTTCTGAAGTATCTAATATGTACCTGGTGCTGTATTAGACTTGGGGACAGTGTTATAGCAGGAAATAACTTAGGGTAGTTTATTTCATGCTGGTAAGATGTCATTTTAGCCAGTGTAATAAACTGGACATTTTGTCATTATTGACTATACCTCACTGGCACATATTCCAATCTTTGAGAACCCCTGGTTGGAAACCTTTGTCGCAGAATGACATCCTCAGGTACGTGCCATTTAGGAAGGCAAATTTGGTTCAGAATTAGGAAGAACTTTGTGTGAATTAGAATTGTGATGTAATGGAATGTGTGGGCTGCATTTTGACATCATAAATGTCAAATTTACTATGCCAATTTCAGGCAGTGGTTGGAAGAAGACTGTATGTTAAGGCATGACATAGAAGACTCCTTCATTGGATGAGTGGTAGTATCAGATTATCTCTAAGGTAGTGTCAAATACTATAATCCTATTATTTTCAAAAAGCTAGGGACATTGTACTTTCACCCATCTTTCCTACATAACTTCTTAAAGTTCTGTCATACTTTAATGACTCTATTTTTTTTTTTTAGCTAAGTCATCCTGCCACCTGTTGACAGCTCAGCCTGGGCTGGGAATTGAACCGGTGACCCTGTTGCTCAGAGCTCGCGCTTTTTTTTTTCGGAAAGATTTTATTGGGGAATTGGGAGAGGGGAACAGTGCTGGGGAATTGGGGAAGGGGAACAGACAAGTTACTGTCCTTTTGTTCTTCAGTCTAGTTGTGGAGGACATTGCTTCACTGGCCCATGTTGGTATTATTATTGCTTCTTCCCGGGTGAGGCAGATCGTTCACCGGCCTCTGGACGGCCGCTCACGGCGGCTCTTGGCAGCTCTTGGCAGCTCACACTGGCTGCCAGCCACTCACGCTGGCTGCCGGCCACACACAGTAGCTTATGGTAGCCTACTGCAGCAGAGGCTGTTGCCTGCGCCATCACCAGCGACTCACAGCAGCCCTGCTCCAGGTCGAGCTGTTGTTCAGCATCTTAGCTGCAGAGGGCAGTGTCACTGGCCCTCATGGGGGATCTGAACCAGGGCCCTGCTGNTGACGGACTGTTCTTTTTCTATCTCTAGAGGAACCGGATTAGCATCTCCCAGTGGGTTCCAGTATGCAGCGGATTAGTACCTGTGTGTCCCACACAGGGACAGTGTGGCAGGGCTCTGTCTGGCGTTTCCCAGGTAAGATTTGTTGTTCCTTTGGTTGGTATGAAAACCTTAGTGTTTATGTGTAAATGTCATGTATTTATAAATTAGCCAACCAAATTGTGTGATGGAAAAACCTCATGAGACCACTTCTGGGTCTCTGCGGTGCGTCTCAGGACTGACTCCTACAGTATGGTGTCTAGGGCGTTGCTTCTAAATACCCCATTGGTGGAACTTAGCCTAGGATACCATGCTACAGTCGGATGATTTTTACTGTTGGGAGTGTTTCCAGATATTCATTTCAGACTTCACTTTTCTTCAGTTTTCTTTTTGTAGCCACTTTTATTTGGGATAAGAAATGTTTCTTTCTTTCTTTTTTTTTTTTTTATATGAACAGAAAATCCAAAGAACAATTATTTGAGGCCTCAGTGTACCACTGACCACATGATTCATTATAATGTAGTTTACCTTGGACCTTCCTTGAGAGTTTTTTCCTTCTGATTTTTATTAATTGTACAAATAATTTAGTAATAAAGGTAATAAAAATCACTCATGACTTGGGAGAGCTGGAAACCACCTCTGATTTGTCACTGATTTCAATTGATTTTTGCTTAAATAAACTCTTAAGAGTTTAAAAGAAAAAAAAAATCACTCATGACTTCAAACCTGAAAATATCTGCTGGTTCTTTCCCAGTCGTGTGTGTGTACGTGTGTACTGTTTTTTTCCTTAGGTATATTAAAATGTTGGGTTATCGGAAACGTCATGACCTATTTTTCTATGTTTTTCGTTTCAAAAATGCCTCTTGACTTTTCTGACAGCTCAATATTGTATATTTTGGTGTCTTTTCACTTATTGGAGCAGACATTATTCATGCTGGTAGATTTTATAATTAAATTTTTAATGGCTACATGTTATTCTATTTACTTAGCCTTTGTTTGCTATTAAAATTCTTTTCAAATTTTATTGCCATTATAGGCTTTAATGTAGTTACCATTTTCTTGATATCTCCTTTTTTCTTATTTTTAATTATTTCTTGAAGATTAATTTCTAGGAGGCTATACCCTGGGTGAAATGGTATGAACAGCTTCCCTCTCCAAAGAGTTGTATATAACGAGTTTTTCATCATTACCTCCCCTAAACTGGGTGTTTTTAAAAGAAATTTAAACTAACTAGGTAGAAAATGCTACCTTGTTTTGCTTTGCATTTCTTTATCAGGGTTAAACATTTTTTTCCTATGTTGGTCAGTTGTATTTTAGATTGGAAAAATAGTGTGCTTATGTCATTTCTCCATTTATCTACTGGGAATTTATTTTTCTTACCAATTTATATGAATTCCTTCTGGAGCCATTAACTTTCTTTTCCATATCTGATGCAATTAAAAAATTATTTTTGATGTATATAGTTACAGATGGTCCTGACTTACAATGATTCGACTTAAGATATTTTGACATTACAATGGTGTGAAAGCGATATGCATTCAGTAGAAACCATACTTCAATTCTGAATTTTGATCTTTTCCTGAGCTAGAGATATGTGGTAAAATACTCTGGTAATATTGAGCAGTGGCAGTGAGCCACAGCTTCCAGTCAGCCACGTGGGTAAACAACCGATACTCTCCAGTGTATTCATTGTGTATAGATGATTTTGTCCAACTTAGGCCAATAATGTAAGTGTTCTGAGCACGTTTAAGGTAGGCTAGGCTGAGCTGTGATGTTCGGTAGGTTGGGTGTATTAAATGCATTTCGACTTATTGGATCGTAACCCCATCATAAGTTGAGGAGCATCTGTATATATATTTATATAAATATATATTAAATATATAAAATATAGGGCCGGCCAAGTGGCTCAGCTGGTTAAGAGCTCGCTTGGGAGCACCAGCTCTGAGCAGCAGGGCTGCGGTTCGGATCCCACATTGAGGGCCAGTGACGCTTCCCCTCTACAGCTAAGATGATGAA